GACACTTGCGATCGATATTAACACTAAAGCTCACTATTGCTACGAAGGCTTGTCATTGCCATCAATGTTGATGCCCCATTATGCCACCAATTTTGATGTCTGTTATTGCTAGCAATGTTGATGCTCATCATCACCTCCAATATCAATGCTTCCAATCTTCAATAATGTCGATGCCCACCACTACCAATAATATTGACCCCCCATTTCCGCCAAATTTGGTGATACTTGTTGTCACCAATAACTTCAATGCATGCTTCCCCCAATAGCATTGGCACTCGCCATCGCCCACAATACTTATTCCCATAGTCATTAACAACGACAACGTCTGTAGTTGCCAACAATGTTGTCACTCATCACTGTTGTTGATAATGTGGGGGAATGCTATCCAAACAACATGGATGGCCACCATCGCTAACAATGCTGATACCCTTCATCACCAACAATGTTGATGTCTGTGAATGCTGACAATATAGACGTTACTAAAAATATTGTCGCCCATCACTGCCAACAACTGCAACATGCCATTGCCAACAATGACGCTTGACATCATAATTAATGTCAACGCTCGTCATTGCCAACATTGATGCTCGCTATCATAACTAATGTTGACGCCCACCATTGCCACATGCTGATGCTCATGGTACCACCTAGTTTGATGCTAGTTGTTGCCAACAATGCAGATGCCCATTGTCGACACCATTACTAATGCATGCAATCCTGAACAACATTGACACAAGCATCTCCACTAAGACTGATGCTCGCCTTCCTGATCTCCTATCTCTATCTCCCCTCTTATAAGAAGGACGAGCGAGCAAACCACCAAATGCTTTTTTATAACAACTTCACCGACTCAACTCTTAAGGCTCCATCTACTTCCTTTGTGGAAGCTATTTTCTACCGTTTAATCCATTAATTTGTATTAATGCTTTCTTTAAGAAGGTGCGCCCACTAACGGGATCATTTTAGCTTGGGTAAGACTCGTAGTTTTTTTCTCTTTCCAAGTTTTATATATAAAAAATCTCATGTGTCCTATGAGTTACTGTCAATTTATCTATTTGTATGTGTGTGAGATTTTTTTATAATGATAAGACAATAAACTCTCTTTCCTACCCCGAATTTTTCAAAGTGCAACAAACACGGTTTTTCTACATAAGAGAAAAATGAAGGGATATTTAAGATTTTGAAGGGAGGCCTTTTACCATCATAATTATTACGAACATAATAAATAGATAAGTTTGAATGCATGAAAATTTTTAAGAAAAAAACAATCTAAATCTGGAGGTTTGCTAGCTTCAAGAGAGAAATCCACATGCTTAATTTCTTCTTCTAGAAACGTGATTTCAAATAGCCCAATCTTCCAAAGATATCATCAGGATAAAGTTTGCTATTTATATGAAAGTTAGGGAGATGATTGTTGAAGAGGTTGCTGTGGAAATATGCAAAAGCATCCAAAATGTCATTTTGAGCAAGGTGAATCGTTTTTAATCCTTAGATGATGAGTGTAATTAGCTTCTTTTTTCTTTTTGCAATCAGCTGTTTTTGTGGAAAAAAGAAAAAATCTAGTATTGTGTTTCCGTAAACTCTTTTAACTGGAGCTTGATACCAGTAAATATCTGCTTATATATATATATATATATTTTTTTTTTGTAGAGCCTTTTTTAGCCTCATTCATAATCTTCAAGTTATGGGTATGAACACATGCCATTCTTAGCTAGTTTTTCAATATCACCCAATCTGTTAACCTACTTAATTTTTTCGGAAGTCCAAATCGTTGCTATACCACGACTTTCAAATTTTGAGCCTTCCAGAGTTTGTTGATCCTACTTTTAACAACTTCCTGTTAGTATTGAAGTCCTTTCAACAACCAATAAACATATCCTTGAAAGCATTCTATTTAAATCAGTAATTCTCAGAGTGAAAATTGTGAGTTTTGTTAGAAGTGGTTGAATTAATACTAATTAAAAGTGGACAAGATATCTCAATAAAATTTTTTTGCTACAGTTAAGGAAGAAATCCTCAATACTGGGAGGAATAAAAATTTGTCAAGTCTAATAGAGATTTCTGCAGTCCTCCTTCAATGAAAGATCTATTTGATTGAAATGGCTCACTAAATCATTAATGAGATGACAAGGTGGTTTACATCAATTGAGAGAGAATCTGTCACACCTGACATCATCCCCCCGACAATGTAGGGTGCAACGGAGAAAACAACAATCATGAAATTTAAAGCTTATCATCATAAATTGATATTCATTCTTCGTTTTATAAATTCCTCAACATATGGAAGCATCCAAAATGTCTCATTTTATACATATAAATAATTACAGAGCCTTACACACTCCAAAACATTACAGTAGTAAACAATCTACATACCTCTGTTGTAAATTCATATACTCAGGTATACAACAACAAAATATAAAGTTTTATCGTGACTTGAGGCTATTCAACTTCCTCTTTCTTCTTGCCCCTTCCTATAACAACAACAAAATTAAAATCTGGTGAGCTATGAAGCTCATAAAGTTATGCATATTAAATAAGAAATTAAATGCAAGATTAATAGAATTAACATAATTAAAATCTTAATTGAATCAAATCAGAAACAATTTGCAAAACAACATAAAGTCATATTTAATATTATCTTTTATATCAGTTGAAACTTAAACAAAATTTCATAATTAGTTTTCAAGGTATTTTGGCTATCATTTCTCATATAGTTAACTTTTATAAAATGTTCAATGGAGCCCAGGTAAACCTAATATTATCGTCATTGAATTATATAGATGTTCTTTTTTTCCTCATTCGGGGTCCCTTTTGACCCACCTAAAATATCTGTATCATAACATTTCATGGCGAACCTTTTCTAATTTGATATTCATAGGCTTCAAATTAAGATCTTATACTTGCTTTGTCATGCTTCGTACTTTCAAATAAATATTCTACTTACTATAATGATGCATAAACAAAATATGCATGCAGTATACAACGAAATGCTTTTCTTTTCATAACCTTGTCAATTAGAAAATATTTATCTAATCATATAATATTTCATGGTAAGCTTAAACCATAAATATTTACATGTGGTCGTTTATACCTATCTGTTTGACTGTAGACACACTAACAAATAGAAGTAACTTTAATGCCCTTATTAACCTTCATTTTTTATTAAATGTAGCTATACAAAGCTAAAAATGATCGCATTTATTTGGTTAAATTAAATTGCATTTCTTACCCCTTTGACGAGTTGCCTCCTCGAATTCAGTGCCTCATAACCTTTTTTGCTTGTAAATTACGTACAAAATCCACATTTCTTACTTTCCATAATTTCTACAATTCATTTTTTTTCAAGCAATTGAATACAATTATTTCATACCCTTTTTGCAACTTACCTCGCAACCAGATTCTCCTATCTTCATACACCCAGATAAAAATCCCAACAACACAATTGTGGTATAAACTCCTTTAGCCCCTTTACCAATATTTGCAATTTCACTAGACAACCATAAATATCACAAAAAAAAAAAAAATAATGTTTACCTTGGTTCCTTATTCCCTAAACGTCCCTCTTCATAGTCTTCTTCACATTCCTTCCTCTTCACTAATTCCATCACAGAAATTTCCCGGACTCTATCACCTGATATTCTTCCTGCTTCCGCCCCCTTCCGTTCCACAGAATCCACAAGCAGCAAAACTAGGTTGAGGAAATACCGAATGGAAGAAGTGTCACTCGTTATTGCTCACATAAGCTCAAAAATTTTCCAGCCATCTGTTTCAATATCCACGGCTGCATGCGTACGATAGTGGAAAACTGAGGGATTATTATATTAGTTAGTGTACTAACTCAGTGCTGTGCTACAGTAATTCCAGCACTTCAATTTCAATGCCTTGGCCGTTGCAAGGAGTAAGTGGAACAATAGGCTAATATATAATATTTTAATTACTGATTACTGATGTGCTACAGTATTTTAATTTGCTAACATAATTTCTTGACTAGAGAACTAATTAAGGCTGAAATGAACTGAGTCCTTAGAAATGTACTGATGCTATTCTTAATATAATTAATGTTTTAAATTAATAGAACTTCATTCTAACACTTTGAATTAATTGCAAAGAATAGACTTGACAGTAATTGCTATTATAAAATTTATTTAACTGATAATTAATGCGATAATATCCAAACCTATTTGTAGAATTTACTAATTCGGGGTAGAAAACAAAATGTGTACTTTTACCTGAAACTTTTGGGTATTACGGTATCTACCACACAGGATCCAATTTGAAGGCCACTTAAAACAAGCATTGAAAACTCAGTCCAAAATAGAAGCTTCTCATTATCAGTAGTAGTATAAACAATAGTAAAAGCAAACTCAAAATGGTAATCTTTTTCATAAAATGAAGGGAAATAGAGAAAATATCAATATAGAAGTTGATGACATAAAAAAGTTGAGAATTCCTTATTAAGTGCTTTACCCGTATATACGTGTATTAAGTGCATGATACCATCTGAGTCTGCATCTATGTGTTTGATAGTTGATTTGGAGGGTTTGTTTTGTGTGGCTGATGAGAGGGAATGATAACATTTAAAGAGGAATGCTTTGGAGGTTTATAGAGGGTAAGGAGGCGTGCACATAAATTTGTGAAATATGAACTTATTGCAGGCTCTTTTGTCCTGTCCAGCTGGAACTTAATCCTCATTGGCAAATACTTCATTTCACTTGAATTTTGAATGTACCTCTAATTGATTTAGAGAATTTTGGTCGCTAAAATTTATCATGATCACCAATAAGGTTTTGGTTTCTATGTCAAATAAATCATGGGATTATTTTTCCCCATGATATGATTGCAACTTTCTAGCTTGCGGTATAGTTAACCTTTTTCCAATTCTGATATTGCTCAAGGCATGTCTTGAAAGTCATAACAATGCTCTTTATGATGGCTTTGGTGGAATCCAGAGTTGAAATGCAACCGTTTTTCAAAGTTTTTACTATTATATCCTTTGTCAGGGATCTTGCAAGTGAGGGCATATTTGATATAATCACAGATGTGCTGAAATCTCAGGATAGGAAGCTTGTCTCCATTGGGTAATTAATATTATTGTATATCTATTTTATCTTTATGCTCTCTTTCATATTGTTTGTGTACATCAGTTTTGTTTACTTTTATTAGCTGAACTTGTTTTATTTGCTTTCATGATTCAGGACGGACATCCTTATACTTTTTCTTAATCAAGATCCCAATCTTCTTAGATTGCATGTCATTCAACAAGAGGGGAATGCACTATTGAGCCTCTTGGTGAGAATCTATACTATTTACTGTTTTGTTTTTCTTTGGGTTTAATTGCATGTTTCCATTTTTTTTTTTTTTGGAGTAGGCTTATAATCTAGTTAGCTGCTATTGGGGTGGCTTGTGTGACACGGAACACAATATGAGACACGTTTGAAACCTGAAATTGAATCACTGCCAAGCTGATTATAATGCGGTAGAAGATTAACAAGGTTATACAATTATATCTAAAACCAAAATTAGATACAAGAAACCAAAACAAATTATATTCACTTATGGTTGCTAGGGATGCATTCACATTCTAAGTCTAGCTTCAGGTTTTGTTCAAAATTCTTAGTCAAGATTGTTGTTGTAGAGGAATATCTCTCTTGCCCACTTCTCAAACCTCCACGTGATTACCAGGTTTATTTTGTCACCTTGACTTAACCTCAACCTCCAGCAGTATTACCTGTAGTTCTTGCCCTAAGAATGGAATGGAACTGGAAAATCCATTTATTCCTGTAGAAATAACTAAATGCCCAAAGTAGGGAAATGTTCAAAGGAGGTTAAATGGATAAATAGCAAGAACCAGTTGTTAAATGGAAAAATCCAATTCTTCGTATAGGATAGTCAGAGAACCTGGCTGAAAGGAATTCCTAGCCTTAAGAATATTGTTCACCATGTCTACCTCACAAATAGGGCTGCAAGCGAACCAAGCGTTCGACATGCTACTCGATGCTCGGTTCGATTAAAGCTCGTTTGTGATCGTTTAACTAACTAAACAAACAAACTTGAACAACATTTTAAATACTCGATCCTTAAATAAACAAGCTTGAACACTAATGTGTTCGGTTCATTTATGTTTGCGAACAACATCATTTGAAGTTCGTGAACAAGATCGACATTAAGCTCGATAAGAAGCTCAATAAAAGCTCGATTCGTGTTCGATTTTGAACTCATGAATAAGCTCAATAAAAATTATTAATATTTGATTATATAATTAATAAATATAATTAATATAAATATTTTATATTTATTATAATATAATGATATAATTATTGTTAAATAATAAAATTTAAAGTAAATAATATTATATTATATATTAATTAAGTATTTTTATTAAATTTAAGTGAATGATAGCAATTAGCAATTTCCAAAAAAAAAAGGCTGGCTTATTTCGTTGTTGTTGGCTTGTTGCCTTATTATCTTATCTTCCCAAGACCTGAGCCCTAATTTTTCTTCCCAAACACGCGGGCTAATGAAGGCGGAATTATTTTTATTATAAATGTGTTTGTTCATAGATATGTTCATGAACGTGTTTGTTTGATAGTTAAAAAAAATTCGTTAAATATGTTCGCGAACATGCTCGATGTAATCGTTTGTTAGGAAGCTCGATAAAGCTCGTTTGTTAAGTTAATGAACATCTAAAAGTAGAGCTCGTTTATAGCTCGTTCATGTTTGTTTGTTTAAAGCTCGATAAACACTAAACAAACGAACATGAACCAAACATGAACACTCATTAATTTAAATGAGCCAAACATGAACACATACAATAAAGCTCGAACAAACATGAACCAAACTTGAACAACATGATATTAAATGAACACAAACATGAACACTCACATACTTGGCTCAGCTCGGTTCGTTTGCAGCCCTACTCACAAAAATTTCCCAAGATGTGGGGATAGTGGGATAGATGGCTGGAATTGTTCTTTGGATGCTGGAAAATAGCAAGAACCCACTCATAGTAGAAACTGGATGCCTGAAACCACTGGCAACTGCATTTGTCTCTCTTTTGATTTTAGATTACCGGACAGCTCCCACAGCACTGGGCTAAAGTTACCTAAGAAGCTTCCACCCTCAGGCTGCTACCCGAGCTACTTTCAACTGCTGGGAAATCCGCTGGAGAGGAGGCCAACGGCCACTAGGAAGGCTAGCTGATTTAGGCAAATCAATTTTGGCAATATCTTGAACCCCACTATGATTTTTGATCTTTTGTAATGAGTTTTCCTGTTCCTGTTGTGGGCTATCTGCTAAAGAATCCGATGGATACCCACTTGAACATGATCAAGATAGATGAGGATAAAGGGTATAAGTTGTGGTGATCAATTGTGGTGAAACTCTGGACTCCCTTATGATCTCCTCCCCTTTGTACCTCTCCAAACTTAAAAAATCCACCTCAACACAGGAAATCCTCCCTCTAATTTCATGACCTAAAATAAAACTCAACCCAAATTTGCCTCCGCTTTCTAAAACGGTATTTATAGGCTAATCGCTTCAGATTACATCTAGGCCCTCTTATTTACTAAATAACCCTTTATGAAGGAATGAAAAGAAACTATGTCCTCTAATAATTAATTAATTATGAAAAAGGACTATTCTTAGTATTATGTCAATGTGCATGTCACTATTTTATTTTTTAAATTGAAATGTTGGGTGGTATATCCTTATTAAAAAAAGGTATGCGATAGCAAAATTATAGTAAACTAAGCACTCTTATGATAATAAGTAAATGCCTTATCTCTGATTATGATTATAAAGGAATTTCCCTGGTAGTTGTTGAATTAGCACTGGTACTAATTTATACTGATGGGTAAAATTCTATTTGTGCTAGAGTTCAAAAAAATGTTGTTACTGGACACAACCAATGTCTAAGAGGGATATAACAATGTGCTAAGGGTTGTCTATGTCTATATCTATATATTTATGTATGTATTATGAAAACTTCTTGGACCTAGTCATTAAAAAAATCAGAAAAAAATTGGGGCTATTCATTTTACCAAACAATGGAGACACTTAAACTGTAAGCAATAGTAAAGTCAACTGGAGTTCAGAACTGGAGCTAGGATGGAGTTTAGTTCAGAAGTAACATATATGAACCTAGAAATAAAAATCAGCATATTTACAATATATCTTTGAGAAAATGAATGCCTTTGGATTCTAGAGAAAGAAGTAAACAACATAATGAAAGGTCAAGAAATCTACTGGAAATCAGACATCACAGCCAGAACAAAGACTTGTGTTCTTGCAAAACATATGAAAAACATTTTTTAAAGCATGCTTTCTGCATTTCTCTCTCCATTTTAAACAGATTGAATCAAAACACTTTTAGGGATATAAGCAGCCCAGTGTGTGCATTTTGGTGGATAATAATGCTATTGGGGAAGCCATCGATTAAAAAGGCGTTCGAGGCGGACGCCTCGAGGCGCGCCTCGAATCGAGGCGGAGGTCGGGCGAACTGAGGCTTAAGCCTCGAACGTCCGGGCGAGGCTTACGCCTTTTTCCACGGAGGCGTATGCCTCAATACGTGAGGCGCCGAGGCGCATCGAGGCAGCGCCTCGAAAGGGAGAAAGTTACCTTCAAAGCCAGCGAGCCAACGAGCTCCCGTTGTTTCTTCTTATCAAAATGTCGTAACTTATGATCCGACGGGAAGGGAAAGTCGTCGAAGGAGCGCAGTCGAACAGCCACAAAGGAGCCAAAGAAGCGACGCGTGTAATCTCTACACCTATGAAGCAACGAAGCCGAACAACAAGGACAAAAAGAGAAGATGAAAGGCAAACCCTAGACGCAGCTAGTTATTATTGATTAACTTAGTTAATATAATTTAAATATTTATAATTAAGCAAATTAATTAAATACTTAATAGTATAATTAGTGCATAAATTAATTGACTAATTAGTAATATAATTATTAATTAAATATTAATATAATTTGCCTTGTTAATATAAATTAAAATATATATTATTAAATATATAATTATTAGTATTAATAATAATTATTGAGTAGCTTGTACCGCTCAGTACATGCTCGGTACCGAGCCAGTACCGCTCGGTACTGAGCAAGTATATGCTTGGTACTGAGCAGTACATGCTCGGTACCAATAGGTACACACTCGGTACCAAGCCAGTACCATTAGGTACATGCTCGATATTGCTCAGTACATGCTCGGTACCGAGCCAGTACCGCTCAGTTCCGAGCCAGTACCGCTCAGTTCCGAGCCAATACCACTCAGTACCGAGCGGTACATGCTCGGTACCGAGCGGTACATGCTCGGCACTGTTAATTACTTTATTTTTATCATTTTTTAGGCTTACGCCTCGATCCGCCTCAAGGCTTACGCCTCGCCTCGCTTAGCCAAAACGCCTCGATTTCCGATTTCGCCTTTTAAAATGTTGGGGAAAGCGCATGAAGTATGTCTTAGTGAAAATATCTTTCTTTTTTTTTTCTACCAAAGTAACTAAACAACAGATTAAAAAGGTAAGAAATCTATTGGACAATCAAACATCCCATCCAGAAAAGACTATTGTACTCATAAAACCTGTCAAAAACCATTTTTTGAAGCGTGCTTTCTGCCTCTCCATTTGAATCAGAAGGAATGAAATCAATTTTAGGAATAGAAGCATCCTTGTGAGCATTATGATGGAGAATAATGCTATTGGATAGCACATGAAGAATATCTTGAGCGAAAATGTCTTAGCTGTGACATCAGAATTCAAATACTAGAAGGAATTCAGTAAGGGAGACATTAAATCAGAGAGCTTCAATAGCTAGTGTCAGCAGAACTTAGCTCTCTTTACAGCTACCCCGAACAAAGCATAAGATGCTTGATCGGGTCAGCAGCAGAGCTAATTGTGGAAAGGGGTCCAACAAACCAAAGTATTCCTCCCCAATTTAATTTAACATATTTGGATATGCAGAATGTATGGCTATTAATAACACATGGTGTGCCTATGAATGGCTTCGTGTTGTTATCTCTGTTTTGGACTGGAAGCTTTGCTTGGCCAAGATGAGCACATTCTGTAGAGAGAGAGAGAGAGAGAGGACAAGACAACAAATGATTTTTCTTAGCTCTAGCGACGCAAGCTTTGGTTCATTTTCAATATTGCGTGCTGTAATTGGAGCTTGAACAGCATCTAAATGGTTTTATCCAATCAATTCTTTACATCTTGCATGCATACACCATGTCACCGTATGTAATTTTGCTAATTTAAGCTTTAGTGCAAGGGATACATTTTTTGTATATACTTAACATATTTTGCAATATATAAAGTCTTTTCTTACTCTTCAGTCATCTTCCTTTATTAATGATAAAATCAACGTAGATCACATGCTTGATCGGCTGCCTCACTTTTAGCAAAATAGTTATAGCAAATTTGGCTGGTTATAATTAACTTAGTGTGGCTATATAATACTGTAGTTTTGGAATGTGTTGGGCTAATGGTTAAACTGTTTTCTTCTCATGAATTGAGGCAATTGTTATAATGACTTGATTAATACATGTATTGGATTAGAGATGAAGTGATTCTACATTCTTGATGGTTTGTTTTCAGGTCAAAGGTATGATGACTGACTTTGGAGAGGGGATGCATTGCCAGTTTCTTGAAATCATACGCATTTTGGTGGATTCGTACTCAATGTCAGGACCACAGGTATTTTCAATTTATGGACTTTAAAGTCAATTTAATTTTCTGAATGCCAAATGAATTTATTGTTTACAATGTCTTTTATTATATATGAAATTGAAGGGATTGATAAGAAAAAAACATAGCTAGAAGTGCACAAAAATTATTCAAAATAGAGTTGCAACCTCATTAACTTCTGTTCTGTAATATTATGTCTTCTTGAAGTTTTGCTATTTTCCTGCAGTGTTTGAAATTGTCACTTCCATTAACTGCTTGGGCAATTTACTTTTATATTCTTTATGATGCTCCTGATACTTGAAAATATTTCCTAATGTCACTACTTATTAGATTCCATATACATAATTCCATGAACCATTTATTTTTCAACTCAACATACTTCATTTAAGAATGAAAGTCGGTTTTACAAATTTCGGAGGGATTATTGATTTCTCAAATAATTTTTATTGTTTATAAGATGGTAAGACCTAATGCATGGGCATCCGATCGGTGTGGGATTTTTGCTGGGATTGTTGCACTCAATTCACCCATGTATATCAGGGATAATTTATGTGATTTAGACAATTGACCACCATGACACAATTGAAATAACAAAATCATTAATTCCTGCCCATTCTTTGTCTGATAGCATGATTCTTTTATCCACCTTATTGCCATTAAAGTTTTTTAGATATTTTTTTTTCTCTATTGTAATTTATGTCCCATTTTTTTTAGCAGTCTTGCAAGGTTAGAGCAGTAGCCATGTTTGAGTTTGTTAACTTTTGGAGTTACAAAGATAAATCCTTCATATTTTCATTTAATTGGCTGTCTTATTTTATATTTTTGTGCTTGGATTCATAAATTAGCTCTTCCGTTTTGAATTACACAATGTTTATATTACCTTTATTGTGACTTGCATGTCACGCATCTAAATCATAGAATAACCTTTTTTTTAATGCATAGTAAGTTTGCTTACAGCTACTTTTCTTAAACATTGTGTTACCTGGGCACTGGTTGGACCCCTTTTAATCTCTTAGTACTTTAAACTAATGCTTCACCAGATTGAGTGCTTAGAATTTAAGATTATCGATAAGGTAAGGCAATTAGTTACAACATAGAAAAGCATTAACTTGAAAACAATTTCATCCATAAATATAAGCCTAAATACTGTAAACAAGAAATCCCACACTTAACAATTAGAAAAGTCACCTTTGAGTTTCCCTCACTCAATCTCTTAAGTAGGGCAAATTATTGCATCCGGTCACCGGACGTGGAGATAGGTCCGGATATTAATAAAATATTATTTTAAATTAAGCGCGTCAAAAGCGCAGCTAAAGCGCAACTAAAGCGCAACTAAAGCGCAGGTAAAGCGCACCTAAAGCGCAGTTAAAGCGCAGGTGACGTGGCATGTTTTTATTGGATGTCCGAACCTATTCTGCGCGTCCGGTGACCGGATGCAATAATTTGCCCTTAAGTAGGGCTAGCAGAAAGAGAGTCTTAGCAAACCAAACGACGCCACCAAGATTGTGAAGACACCTATGGTTATAATCCAACGAAAGTTCACCCGAGGAGGTGTTCGTAGTCTCTTTTCCCTTTTAGAGATGTAAATCATGAGAAGAAACAACTCAAGAGATGAGAGAGGAAGAAAGGGGGGGGGGTCGGCCAAAGGGGAGAGGGGTTTCTTGGCCAAGCTAGGGTTTGGATGAGGGAAAAGAAGAATAAATCTGAAATTTATTTCAGACGTAGGACTTAATTGATGGGAGGGAAATAGGAGTTTGAATTTGAATTTCAAATTCAAAGCTTGGTAGGGTTAAAGTGGAGAGAGAGAGGGAGGGAGAATTAAAGAGGGGTAGGGGGCGGTGGCATGCTTGGGAGATGGAGGGATTGGGAGGGAAATTCATTACTTCCTAATTCATTAATCCAGTTTAGGAAAAGGATAATAAATTCAAATATAATTTAATATTAAATTAGATTCAAATTGGATACTTTCCTAATTTAACTTGGCTAATTTAGGAAAGTATTTGAAATTCAAATTTGAATTTCAAATCGGATGAAATCTTTCATAAATTATGTGGACTAAATTTGATAGGTCTTAATGGTGATTAAAATCAACATTAAGAGAGGAGGAAGGGGTGTGGCCGGCGGTGAGTTTGGGAAAGGAGGAGTTTGGCCGGTGGGGAAAAAGGAAGGGGAGACCGGCGGTCTAATGGGAGGTGGGGAGTGGCCGGTGAGGGAATGGTTGTTCGGCGGTTGTGGGGAAGGGTGGCTGTCGGGTGAGGGGAATTGGGGAGGCCGGTGATGAAGCAAGAGGAGTCGGACCACGAGCCCCAGACACTTCTGGCGACTGGTGAGTATTGCTTTGCCCACACCTTGGGACTTCACCACTCAAGAACTTAAAAGCTCTAGAGAGAAAACATAAATTTATTTCATTCATCAATAATCCTCATACAAAGGTTAATACCTTATATATAGGCCTTTCAAACAACTAGAAAGAAAAGACAGGAATGCCTTAGGGCTACAACTCACAATACATAATAAAGATGGGTACAAACGGTAAAACTCAAATAAAATAACTAATACATAACATATATAAAAAATAAAGACTCCTAAACGTAGTCGTCGATCTACGACGCTTCCGGCGATAAACATTATGGAATCACTTGCTGATGTCCACATCAAATTTGCTATAAAATAATTTTCATTAAGTCATGGATTTGTTCTTTACTTAGAGTTTAAAAGGCTGTTACCTGAAGTTGAGCTCACCATACAAGTACATGGGCACTTATCAACTTTAAAGCTCAAGCGATGTTAAGGCCATTATTAGTATATTAGAAGCTAATTCTTATTTCACTTCTAATGTGGTACTATTTCTTATTCATATGGATCTCAACAATAGTGTTTAGTAAATTAAACCCTCTGTCAGTAGTGTTTAGTTTGATAATAACCAAGAAATCAATGTCCACAGATTATTAAATGTATGCTTATTTTTATGTATTCTAGGATGCATTTATATAAATGATATTATCATGATTAATACTCTTATCTCAATTACTTAGGGCTGAATAGTCAGTTTCATTAATTCTTGTTAAGTCCTTATCTATAAGTAGTGCTCACTTTATTTTACCCAAGTAATGAAATTGTAATAAGAATGATTGTTTGTTCGAATACTTTTATGATGTTAATGAAAGTTAGTGGAGCTAATCCTAACAAATGTCACATGCAATAATGAATTTTAATATTTTAGGACTTGCGTTTTATTAAAAGTACACATAAAGCCCAGTTGGGTTTCACCGTTCCACCTTTTCACTATATTTCTTTAATTTGACCTATAGCAAGATATGTTTGGGCCTAAATCTGGAAGCTAAAAGAAGGACAAAACCAGTTGGGTTCCATCTTTGCTAGCACCAGTGCACCACCATCAATGTTTTATTATAATTCCCATACTTAGACATCTCCCAAGATCTCTTTGGCCTAAATAAGAGAAGAAATGGTTAAAAGCAATAAGTCTGAGGAACATATACATGCAATGAAAAAAAACAAGGAAAAAAAAGGAAGAGAGAAGCCTTAACTACAGATCTCATCACTGCAAAGATCATGTTCTAATTATTTGTCTCATGTCTGTGGGTCGCTAGCTTTGATGTCTCTTTATATAAAGTAATGAACCCACATGGGCTCTCGTTTTTCATTTTTCTATCCATATCCTCAATTTTCAATGGCATTTCTTATTTGCTATCTTTTCCTACTCTTCACTCCAGCTGCCATCATTTTTTTGCAGAAGCATTGTTGAGCTTTACTCGTCCTTACTGTAGAAAGATTTCTGGAGTGTACAATGCTCATGGCATCTACTGGTCTTTTTTGCGTAGGCATGCAACCATTGAATGTTCTAATTAGGGAGTTTTTTTAGCATCTGCAAATGATGTTTGAGATTAATAGGCGAAAATAGATTAAGGTTGATGGAGGCTAGCATATGTTGTCCGAGGCACTGGAATTCATTAATGCTTGCAGTTTTTATTAATATGACTCTTTTTTTTATGAACACATGGCTTCTGTTTACTTGGTAGTTAGTGAATTCAACTTAATAAGAATGTATTTGAGTCTTGCAAGCTCGAGTGAAATATCTTTGGGGCAAGCTTGACAAGGCTTGTTTCCCTTAAGCTCAGCTAGTTAGTACTAAATGTTGCATCATTTTGAATATCATTTTAACCTCAACATGCATAGTTATACATTTGATATAGGTTGTTTTAGTAGGACATATTTGACTATTTAGATTTCATGGAAAACATTTTTATTAATGGGCCAACAACTATTAGAGAAGGTATCAAATAACTTGAAAGAGGTTTGCATTAAAGGAATATGAAAATAGTCTCTCTGTTCTCAATGGCTCAACTTTTATACTATAGTAGTGGGAAAGTTTTGAAACTTATGCTATGATCAAGGCTTGAAATGGTGAAATTTGGAATTAAAGTGTTTTGCCTTATCAAGACGAGACATGAGCCTCACGATAAATTGAGGCATAAGTATTGATCCTAAAATAATAATAATAAAAACTCATTAAATTAAAGATATAAATTGATCATACACTAACAAAAAAATTGTTAAAAACAAAATTAAAGACCAAGAACAAAAAAAAAAAAGGAAAAGAAAAATTAATTAAGGGGTTGTTTGGTTGACTAAAAAAGAAATGCTATGTAAAAGGAATATTTTAGAGCTGTTTGGATGAGTGTAAAGTAATTTAGGCGAATTTTTTTTGTGCGGTTCAAAGTAAAATGAATGATGCAAGCAAAAAATTAGGAAAACCCCTAATTTTTTGCAAGCAAAATACTAAACCTTACTAGGAAATAGAAATGACACAAATTCTGAAAAACTAGACAAAATACAACAAATAAACCAAAAAACAACTTCACTTTATAGTATAAGAGGACTTACAAACTTTGATGCTTACAAAACGGCTCCCAAAAATCAGCACAGAAAACAGGTTGGAGAAGCCACGGGACACAGCCATGGAACCACGTGAACACAGCCAGGGAGGG